GCCCAGGCCTCTCATCTGCGCTCCCTCTCCCCAGTCACCACGGTCCAGCCCAGGCCTCTCATCTGCGCTCCCTCTCCCCGGTCACCACGGTCCAGTCCAGGCCTCTTATCTGCTTCATGCACACCACAAATCCTCCCAGGCCTTTCTGCTGATTCCGGATAATTATCCTGGGCTTTATTCGTTCCCTTAGTTACCGCTTCCTCTACTGCTGTGTAAATTCCCTGTCTTCCTAGAATGCAGCATATGCCTGGCAAACACTCAAAAAATACGGAATTAAGGAATGAATAATTCACCGGTATTCCTCACAGTACAGTTCTAAGTTCAATGCCACACCAAAATGCTTCTCCAGATGAAGTAATTTAATTTTATTTTCATGTTATTATTTTTCTAGACAAAATCGCACTCTATCTCCCAGGCTGGAGTGCAGGGGCGCGATGTTGGCTCACTGTAACCTCCACCTCCTGGGTTCAAGTGATTCTCCTGCCTCAGCCTCCCAAATAGCTGTGATTACAGGCACATACAACCATGCCCGACTAATTTTTGTATTTTTAGTAGAGACGGGGTTTCACCATGTTGGCTAGGCTGGTCTCGACCTCCTGACCTCAAGTGATCCGCCTGCCTCAGCCTCCCAAAGTGCTGGGATTACAGGCATGAGTCACTCTGCCCAGCCAGTAATTTAATTTTTAAAAGGTAATTCCCCACCAAAAAAAAATTTTTAAGTATTTTTATGTTGCCTGTGTGAAATTTAATTAGTAATATCTCATTTTATAAATATAATAATAGTTTATACTTAGATACATTTATACGATGCTCTTGGCAGTATACTAAATGCTTTATTCATACTGATTTAATCATTACAGCAACACTGTGAAATGGGTACTATTATCATCTCCATTTTACAGAGGCACCAAGAGATTACATAATTGCTCAAAGTAAGATTATGTAAAAAACTGAAAGGAAATAACTGCTAGTAAACAGCAGAGCTATGATTGTGGAATATGAATCCAGGGTCTGGCTCTAAAGTTTGTGTCCTTAAAGAAATAAACTGAAGAGGCGGGGCATGGTGGCTCACGCCTGTAATCCCAACACTTTGGGAGGCCGAGGTGGGTGGATCCCTGAGGTCAAGAGTTTTGAGACCAGCCTGGCCAACATGGTGAAACCCCGTCTCTACTGAAAACAACAAAAATTAGCTGCGCGTGGTGGCAGGAGCCTGTAATCCCAGCCACTTGGGAGGCAGAGGCAGGAGGAACACCTGAACCCCGGAGGCAGAGGTTGCAATGAGCCAAGATTGCACCACTGCACTCCAGCCTGGGAGACAGAGAGAGACTGATTTAAAAAAAAAAAAAAAAAGAAAGAAAGAAAGAAACTGCAGAAACAAACTGATGAATTTCTTAAATATTTCATGTGTTACTACATGGAGATCAGTTTAGATATTGGGAACCCAGTAAAATGAAGAACTTTTTGATAAAAGAGACAAACATTTTATTCAAATAAAATTGCAGGCCTGGAAAGTGGCTCATGCCTGTAATCCCAGCACTTTGGCAGGCAGTGACAGGAGCATCACTTGAGGCCAGGAGTTTGAGACCAGCCTGGGCAACAAACCAAGACCCCACCCCTACAAAAAAGAAATTTTTAAAATTAGCCATGCATGATGGCAGGTGCCTACAGTCCTAGCTACTCTAGAGGCTGAAGCAGGAGGGTCGCTTGGACCCAGGAGTTCAAGGCCTCTGTGAGCCGGGATAACACCACTGCACTCCGCACTCCAGCCTGTGTGAGAGAGCCAGACTGTCTCAACAAAAAAATGCAAACAACCTTTGCTCAGCAATAGAAATGTATCTGATTGTTTTAAATGGAAACAGCTTTAGGAATCACGGAGTGCAGTGATCCTCAATATGCTGCTCCACAGCCTCTGGGGCTGCGGGGTGAAAACATGGTGCTATGGTTGTGATGACCAGCGAGTGGCGGTGGCGGCTGCCGCCAGCATCTGGTTAATCAAAGCACCTTGTGCCATCAGCCACATGTGGGATGATCACACCTGTTGGGCAAATCCAACCCTGCTGGGAAGCTGAGTCTTGACAGGTGGAACTCAGTCATCCAAAGGCTCTCTTAGTCTAGATCCCTAGAGGTATCTGAGTACATGTTCTTGATAAGGTAAGGTGTTTCTCTCAGCATTTTAAACCAGTATTTTTAAATCTTTCACTCCCCTCTCTTCTTCCTTACATGGTTTCTGAGGAGAAGTTGAATGTTCTGCCCCTCTACAGGTAAGGTGCATTTTTCTTCTGGCTTCGTTCAAAATGAGAAAGCTTCCTGTATTTGTGGTATGCCGTCTGACATTAACTTGGAATATTCTCAGTAATTACTGCTTCATATAGTTCTCTTTAAAAAAATTTTTTTATTCCCATAGGTTTTTGGGGAACAGGTAGTATTTAGTTACATGGTAAATTCTTTAGCGGTGACTTGCGAGATTCTGGCGCACCCATCTCCCACTGTGGAAGACAATTTGTTCACGGACCGGGGCGGGGGTAGGGAGGGCGGGATGTGTTTTTGGGATGAGAAACTGTTCCACCTCAGACCCTCAGGCATCAGTCACGCTCTCACACGGAGCGTGCAATCTAGACCCCGCACGTGCAGTGCACACGAGGATTCACGCCCCTGTGAGACTCGAACGCTGCCACTGATCTGACGGGGAGCGGAGCTCAGCCAGGCACGCTCACTGGCCTCCTACTTACCTCCTGCTGTACAGCATGGTACCCATCTGTGGCCTGGGGCTTGGGGACCCCTGCTTTAGAGGAAAGGAAGATGTGCTATTGCGAAGGTGTGC